AACAACATCTAGGCCTTTAGGGTGGAAGTTTGTGTTAATCTAATTAGGAGCTGGGCTGGGGTTGAGGTTTATTGCTGCTAGGATTACCCTAAATGCACCAGACATTTCTGGGGATACCTTGTGTTAACGGTGGGGATTGTTTTGCCAGAGGATTTTTTTTCCCCAGATGACTGCTCCACCCTCAGCCCTAAGTCTTCTCTTCAAGCTGGTTTGCAGAGTGTGAGTGTCTATTGCAAGTTACTTGTTTCTCAGTGCTTGTCCTGGAGGCAAGAGATGGGGGTATTGGGTCTGATCTCTGTTTGATGAAGCCTGGGTTTTAGGCAGATACTGTGTCTCTGGTCCCTGGGGTGTGGTCTTCTCAGTGTCCCTGCCATTCCCCTGCCCCCAGGACATAGTTCTGAATCAGGCACATATTCCTGCCCCTCCCCTAACAGCAGTGGGATTTCACTCTTCCCCTAAGGGCAGTGGTGTGGGTTGTTCTCTCCCCAGCAGATTAAGGCTTGGGTTCAGTAGGGAAGAAAGGAGACAAGTTTTGAGGCGGAGTTTCTTGCCTCTTCCATAGTGGCTGCTGCACTGATCGCCCCCACCCCACCCCCAGGTCTACACCGCAACGGGGACTTTTGCAGAACACTCCAAATCTTTTCTGAGTGCTCAGTGGGTTTCCTGGAGGAAAAGCCTACCAGAAGGTAAGGACTCCCCCATGTTTGCAGCTCCCAAGGGGCTTCCCCCTCTTTTGCCAGTGCATCCTGGGCCTCTAGCAGTTTGCTAATCACTGTAGTTGATCTCTTCTTACCTGTGTCAGGCCAGGCAAGTCAATGACGGAGTCTTCTCTCTACTAACAGGTACCTTGCTTTCCCTTGATTCTGGACTAGTTGGCTGCCCTGTCACCTCAGCACTCCAGTGGGTTTAAGAAAAGTTGTCCGTCTTTTTTTTCAATGTAAGTTTTGCTGTGACTTTTTTTTCAGCTCTCTATGTCTCTGAGTAGAAACCAGAAGTCCCCTTCCTTTTTATATGTATCTCTTTCCTGTCTTCCCTGCAGAGCTGGAAAAAGAATATGGACCCTGAGCCCCATGTCCAAATATTTGATTTAATTGTTCTGAGGTGGGCACTCGGAATTGAAACTTTCTTTATATCTTTCCAGATTGTTATAATGTGTAGGCTGGATTGAGAATGGCTCATCTAGGTAGAAAATATAAGAGGACAATTGCCTGACAGTGGAAATTAACCTTCAACAAATATTTATTGAGCATTGTATTAGTTTCCCAGGAGCCCTGGTGGAGCAGTGGTTAAGAGCTTGGCTGTTAACCAAAAGGTCAGCAGTTCAAATCCACCAGCTGCTCCTTGGAAACCCTATAGGGCAGTTCTACTCTGTCCTATAGGTTGACTATGAGTCAGGCTCAACTCGACAGCAACGGGTTTTTGGTTTGGGTATTAATTTCCTAGGGCTGCTGTAGCAAAATATCACAATGAGTGACTCATAAGACAGAAATGTATTATCTCCCAATTCTGGAGACTAGAAGTCCAAATCAACCTGTTGGCCAGGCCATGTTCCCTCCGAAGACCCTAGGGGAAGATCTTTTCTTGTCTCTCCCAGCTTCTGGCACCCCCAGGAATTCCTTGGCTCAAAGATACATCTTCACATGGCTGACCTTCCTCTGTTCATGTCTCTCCTCTTTTATACGGACACCATGCAGATTGGATTATGACCCACCCTACTCCACAGTGACTCCATGCTAACTTAACTGATGACATCCTTTTTTTTTTTTTTGAACATTTTATTGTGTTTTAGTTGAAAGTTTACATAGCAAATTAGTTTTCCCATCAATATTTCATAAACAAATTGTTCTGTGACATTGGTTGCAATTTCCACAATGTGTCAGCACTCTCCCCATTTCTTGCCTGGGCTCTCCGTTTCTATTCGTCTGGTATCCCTGCCCCTCCCTGCCTTTTCGTCTTTGCTTTTAGGCAAATGCTGCCCTTTTGGTCCCCTACAGTTGATTATTTCTGAAGAGAACCTTCCTCAAGGGGGTTGTTTATTTTATAGGCCAGACTATTATTTGGCTGTGAGATGGCCTCCGAGAGTGTCTATAATTTCTAGTTAGAAGGCTTCCTTAGGTCAATAGTCTCAGGACTTCCTCTGATCTCTATCAGGCCAGTAAGTCTGGTCTTTTTTTTTTATGAACTTGAGTTTTGTTATACATTTTTTCACCCATTCTAACCAGGACCTTCTATTGTGATCCAGGTCAGAGTGGTCAGTAGTGGTAGCTGGACACCATGTAGTTCTTCTGGTCTCATATTAGAGAAGGCTGCGATTCACGTGGAGCCCTAGTGGCACTGTGGTTAACACCTCAGTCAGCAGTTCGAATCCACCGGCTGCTCCTTGGAAACCCTATGGGCAGTTCTACTATGTCTTATAGGGTTGCTATGAGTCGGAATCAACCCAACAGCAACGGCTTTGGTTTTTTGGTTTGGTGATTCAAGTGAGCCATTAGTCCCTTGGACTATTTGCTTCCTTGAATCCTTGGTTTTCTTTGTTCTCCTTCGCTCCAGAGAGAAAGAGACCAATAGTTGGATCATAAATGGCCAATCGCAAGCTTTTAAGACCCTGGATGCTACCCACCAGACGAAGATGTGGAACATTGTCTTTATGAACTGTGTTATGCTAATTACCTAGATGACCCTTGAATGATAACATCTTCAAAGATCCTATTTCCAAACAAGGTCATGTTCACAGGTATCAGGGGTTAGGACGTCAACAGACCTTTCTGGGGGACACTATTCAATCCATAACAAGGACCTACTATCTTCCAAGCATTATTCTAGGCACTGGGAAAACAGTGAACAAGACATACAGGGGCTCTTCTCTCTCAGAGCTTCCCCTTTAGGATGAGAGATGAATTTTTAAAAATGACTAAACAAATGTATCATATAATTTGGAAAAGTGATTAGATCTATGAGGAAAAAGGAATCATCTGCTGAGATGCAGGTATAGAGTAGGTAGATAGATGGGTTTAATCAGTGGGATTTGCCCATTGAGAATGAAGAAAGAAGCAAGGAAGCTAAGAGTTATTAGAACTGAGTAATCATGACTGCCCATGGAATATACACTTGTGAAGCAGGGATAGAAAGTGATAGAAGTACAGAAGTACGTTATTTTAGAGAAAGTAGCTGGGAAATCTCTAAAGAAGTGATTTTGAATGGAGACCTGAATGAAGTGAAAGAGAGAGTCTTGCAAAAATCTAGAAGAGACCGCTAGGCAAAGACAGCAGCAAACGCCATGCATATTTTCTCCTGGTAGGAAACCCTTAAAGTCATTCATATACACTTCCCAGAGTTTCCTCCAGCAGGCAGGACTGTTTCAGGCATGTTTGAATCCTTTTGACTACTGCACATATATATTGTGTGGAACAAATGCTTAGTGCAGCTCTATTTCATTCTCTCTCTCTCCTTCCCCTCTCCTTATACCTTTTTCCTTAGCATATATATTTAAAACACCGTTAGCTAAATAGATGTACTTTATGGCCAAACTTTCTTCTGAAAATATGTACGTTGTTTTGTTTTTTATTTTATTCCTGAATTCAGGAAATTCTTCAGAATATATCTATGTGTGTATGTCTTTTTCATTAATTTAGGGTGTAAATTAGTGAGCCAACTTCAGAATGGTTTTATTTTTAAACACAGCAAGTCCTTGCTCCTTTTTATTTCCTCTAAATTCTGCTTAAAATGGAACAGTTCCTTTTAACCTCATCTCACTCCTCATATCCTTTATCATCTAAACAAATAAACCCGTTGCTGTCAAGTATTTTCCAACTTGTAGTGACCCTATAGGACAGAGTAGAACTGCCCCATAGGGTTTGCAAAGCTGTAATCTTTATGGAAGCAGATTGCTACATCTTTCTCCCCCGGAGCGGCTGGTAGGTTCAAACTACTCACCTTGTGGTTAGCAACTGAGCCACCGGGACTCCTTCCCAGCCAGCACAGTGACTCGTTTTTCTTGTCTGATGTTCACCTTAATGAGGAACCTAAAGTGACTAGGTGGTAATTACAGCTTCCAGCTGAGTGAAACACTTACCTGTGACCAAAGTGTCTCCCCATCAGCTCTATCACCAGGGAATAAGACCTCTGTCTAGCACAGAAGTTTCAGCTTGCAGGAGCAGGAAAGACAAATACCACAAGTGGGTCACTGGGAGTGATGGTGAGAGGAATTACTGGACTAGTTCACTTAGATAATGGGAACTGCGCTCTATATATCAGCCACTGGTTCATTTTATATACTGAATTCTGGAGGATGAGACCCGAACATAACAAGGTGTTGTCCTAAAACTGACACCTTAGCTGAAACTTCGGTGGAAACTTTTCCACCATTCTCCTGGCTGGCTGCTTCCTAGTGATGGGATACTTGCACCTCCTTGCCTGATTTTCCAGTTTTATTGCTTCCAGACTCTTGAACAACCAGTCAAGCTGTTCACTACCACACAGGAGTCAGTGTATATTCCTACTGAAAACCACATCTCCCTCCATGCAAAGGTGATGACCACAATAGCCCCAGTCTATCAGAGAGAAAAGGAGGAGATGCATTTCCTGCCCAGATCCTTCCCATCTCCCTTTCTCTCATTGATCCAAGTTTGTGTCACGCATGTTAGCTTCCCCATACTTCTGAATAGTCTTACCTGGCCCTTCTGGGCAGCTTCTGCACTCTGAGGCACAGTACCTCATCTGGGCCCGGAAGTATTGAGAAGATTTATGGCCTCCATCGGTCTTGTCATATTGGTTCTAGGATCCAGGGCCACTCCTTCTCTCACCATGGTGAATATCATGGGGTCTATGCCAAAGCCTGGCCATCACCTTGGGGAAGATTGAGACAGTGAGTGGTAATGGGGACAAGGTGATGTGGTAGTGACTTGGCTGTCCACTGAAAATATGGGAAAGGCCCACAGGCTGATGATGCGGAAAAAATCTAGGAGGATGCATAAACTGAGCCTGGTAGAGTCTTAGACCCAATGTGGAGATTCTGCCAGTATGTCTACATCTATGTCTATTCCCACTGTGCATTAAGTCTTCACATTATCTCATCTAATCCTCACAATAAGGACAACAACGCCACCAGGTAGGTGGTATATTTCCCATTTTCCAGATGAGGAGACTGAGAATCTGAGACAGGCTAGAGCTATAAGGGACCAAGCCAGGACCAAATCTAGATCACTGTGTTTACGGCCATAATTCTCATTATTGACCAGTCCAGGCACTGTTGGAAAATTTGGGGAGAATACAGGATTAGAATTCTGAATAAAAGAATAAATCTCCACAAGCCTTTACTCTTAGGCAGCCACATAGTATGACTTCAGAAGCTCTGGGAAAGACTCTACCCCAAGATATCTTCATAACCCTCTCAATACTTGAAGTTCCACCAATAAATGCAGATGTATATTTTGTCATAAAGGTGTTCCCTCTCTCTTCCTCTCCCTCCCTATCTCCCTTTATCTCTTTCTCCCTCTTCTTTTCTCTCTCTTGCTGTTTCTGAAGTGCATTTACTCCAAGAGATTAATACAGTAAGGCATTATCAGATCCTCACACCTTAGAATAAAAAAATACATAAGGGCCACCAAGAGATGTAAGGAAAATAGAGGCTCAAGTGGATAGGGGAAGATAATCTGTTTATCTGGTTTTCTGGGAGTATCATAATATCCTAGGCTTCGATAGCATCAGAATGAATAAGAGGAACCCCTGTGTTAACCTAGGAGTCCCTGGGTAGCGCAAACAATTAAGCACTTAGTTACTAACCAGAAAGGTTGGAGGTTCGAATCCACCTAGAAGCACCTCGGAAGAAAGGCCTAGTGGTCTACTTCTGAAAAATCAGCCATTGAAAACCCTGTGGAGCACACTTCTTCTCTGACACATATGGGGTCACCATGAGTCAGAAATGAGTTGATGGTCATTGGTTTGAGTTTTGTTTTGTTTCTTTTTTAACCTAAGTTCATCTAAGGTCTTTCTTTTGCCCCTGGGGCACCAAGACCCAGTGAGATCTGCCCAGACCCTCCTGAAAACCTCATACCATTAGTTTCTTGTGGTCACTGGAGCAAAGAGAAAGTGCTCACTAATGTCTGAGGTTGCCCCAGGAGTGGCTGGGGGCAAACCAGTCCTGCAAACTGTTCCCAACAAACCCCTGTGATCATTCAGGTGTGGCCTCTTACCCAGGAGGAGACGGTGGTCAATGTCTGGGTAGGACAGAGTACAGACAGCAGAGTGTGGGGCGACGGGCGGGGATTCAGGACTGGATGACCTAAACCTGCTAAACTCACCATGCGATCTCAGACAACGCCCTCCCCAGTGCTGGGCCTGCTCTCTCATCCGCGAAGGCAGGAATTGGGTGGCTCATCTCTAAGGCTCCTCTGTACATGTGTGGGTCTCCTGCTGATTCAGGCCTGACCGTCACCCCTCTTTTCTTCTCATCCCACACAGGCGTCTTCCTCTCCACAGTTCCACCTTCTCCTGGAGGAATTTAGTTCTCCTGCTGCTTCTCTCCCTCTTTTGGGGAGGTCATTCCTCATGGTCATTCCTCAAATTCAAAAGTGGGTACAGAAAGGCTGCAGCTGCTCTTGTATAGGCGGCATTCATGGGGACTGGGGATTAGACATAGGGCCAGTACTAGTGTCAGATAAGGCCACCTCTAGTGTGGATTCAGGGCCACAGAACACTATCCCTACTCCCCCCACCCTGGGCGCCCCAAATCCTCTCCTCACCTGTTTCCCCCAAATTACTTCCCTAACATTTCCTGATACATGTCTTTTCCAAGTGTAATTGCTTTCATTAACTAAACAGGAGCCAAAGAGCCCTGGTGGCCCAATGGTTAAGTGCTCTAACGGAAAGGTTGATGGTTCAAACCTACTCAACAGCTCCGCAGAAGTAAGGCCTGGTGATGCTCCCATAAAGATTACAGACTAGAAAACCCCTGAAACAGTCCTACTCTGTCACATGGGGTTACTACGAGTGGAAAATCGACTCAACAGCACCTAACAACAACAACAGGCAGGAGCCTGAAGGCAGGAGTCAGTGAGGAGGCTATTGCAATAGTTGAGGAGAGAAATGGAGGAGGGGTCAAGTACTGACCTGAGGAAGTGGTAGCAAAGAAGGAGAGGAGATGGGGTTTGGAGCGAGGTTGAGGAAACAGAGTAGACAGAACTAATGACTGACAGGGTGCTGGGGTGGCAGACTGGGAGGAAGGAAGGATAACTCTCAGGATTCTAATAACAGACTGGGGGGCTATTGATGCTGAATACCAAGATGGAGAACAGAGAATGAGAAAGGACTGCTTGAGTGTGGGGAGACACTAGTTCAGTTCTGAACATGTTGAGGCAGAGGTGCTTTCCCTGGGCATTTGGAGAGAAGGACCTTGATCTTAGAAGAGAAGATGGGTCAGGAGGGAGATGAGGGATTCACAGTTGGGGTGAAGGGAATGGAGCTGCCCACCCAGGAAGTATGTCTAGAAAATGACAGAAGAGGACTGAGGTCAGAACTCTGGGGACCATCCCCAGTGAATGCAGAGGAAGTCCTGGGGAGTGTGTTCCAGGCAGGAGACTAGACACGCAGGTAAGGGCTGAGAAGGGGTGGCCAGGGAGGGAGGAGGATTCTAAATGAGAGTTCAAGCTGACAATGGAGAAAGGAGCTACAATGGCCGAAATCCAAACAAGTGGCTCCTGGAAGCAGATGGGAGGCAGAACTGGGTGAGTCAGCATGGACGAGAGGCGTAGTGTGTCCTCACAGTCCCTAGGTTCCCCTTTCTAGGCCATCTTTTTACCCTTTGGAGGTGTCCCTATTTGATTTGCTTAACTCTCCCTGAGTCCAAGGCTAGGACAATGGCTCGCAAGTAGAAGCCTATACCCTGGTGCTCAACTGCCTGCTTCAGGATCACCTAGGGCACTTTTTAAAAATTTGGGTCCATAAGCCTCACTTCAGGGATCCCTCGTGGCACAGTGGTTAAGCGCTTGGCTGCTTACTGAAAGGTCATTGATTTCAACCCACCAGCTGCTCAGTGGGAAATAGATGTGGCAATCAGCTTCTGTAAAGAGTTTACCCTTGACTCTCAACAACAACCAAATAAAAATTTTTTAAAAAGAAAAGACGACAGCCTTGGGAACCCTATTGGGCAGTTCTACTGAATCCTGTAGGATTGCTATGAGTCAGAATCGACCCGATGGCAATGGGTTTTAATGGGTTAAGCCTCACTTTAGTAGTCCCTGGGTGGCACAAACTGTTAAGGCACCCGAAACCAAAAGGTTGATGGTTCAAACCCACCCAGGGGTCCTCAGAAGAAAGGTCTGGTGATCTGCTTCCAGAAGGTCACAGCCTTGAAAACCCTACAGAGTGTAGTTCTACACATGGAGTTGCCATGAGTCAGAATCTACTTAATGGCAACTTTTTAATTTTTTGGCATACCTCAATTTCTAGAGATTCTGATTCAGTCCAGAGTCAATATTTTTTTGAAAGATGCACAGATGATTTTAATGTACACTCCAGGTTAGAAACCATATAGTCTTTTAAGCACCAGGCTACCCTTGGAGGTCATTAAGGGTAGGATGAAGAGATAAGTAAAGGTGGAAAGTACGAAAAAGTCTCAGTAGCCAGTCCACGGGAAAGATATGGGGCTTCTGGAGTGAGTCATCGATTGGAAGTCCCAAACCTGCCCCTATTTCACTGGGTTATCCTATTCTGATCTCATTTTTTACAACCTATGAAATTAGGAGGTTGGTGCTAATGATAACTATGGCCCCTCCAATTCTAACGTTCTTTAATTCTAATATTCAGTACCATCCAAAAGGATCATGCCTTTCTGGTCAGATTCCAAGGGAGAGAAGCTCAGATTAGAGCCATGGAGCACCATTAAGCACTGTAGCTATCAAGTGCTGCATAACAAATTATCTGTAGGTCAGAAATCTGACATGGTGTGGCTGGGTTCTCTGTTCAGGGTCTCACTGGACTGAAATCAAGATGTCAGCCAGGGCTGTGGTTTTCAACTGATACTCAGGGTTCTCTTTCAAGCTCACTGGTTGTTAGCAGAATACATTTCCCTGCCTTTGTAGGACTGAGGTCCCCATTTCCTTACTGGCTGTCAGCTGGGGGCCGTTGTCAGGTTCTAGGGGCCACCCACATTCCTGCCATGTGGCCCTCTCCATCTTCAAAGCTACCAGTGGCATGTTGGATCCTTCTTGTAAGAGTTTCAAATCTCTCCTACTTCTTCTGCAAAAAAAAAAAAAAAAACCACCCCAAAACCTATTGCTCTCAAATGGATTCTGACTCATGGCAACCCATGTGTTACCAACAGTTAAAAAAAAAAAAATGCCTTGCTTTTAAAGGACTCAACTGATTAGGATAATCTCTTTATCTTAAGATCGACTGACTTAAGACTTTAATTACATCTGCAAAATCCCTTCACAATATTACCTATATTAGGTTTGATTCAATAACCAGGGAACAGAAATCTTGGTGGTACACCTTTAGAATTCTGCCTACCACAAGCACTGAAAACAGGGAGTCATGTCTTGCCAAAAAGAAAGGAAGCAAACTCATGCTTGCCAAACTCCTATCACGTGCTGGATACTAAGGTAAGTGCTTTATGGACATCATCCCATTTAATTCTTGTGAGCAGTCTGTAAGGTGGGGATTGTCATTCACATTTTACAGGTGGGCAACTTATGACTCAAACAAAGCAAGGCACTTTCCCAACATCATTTAGCTAGTTAGTATTTGAGCCAGGCTTCCGAGCCAGATCTGTCTGGCTCCAGTGTTCTTCCCACTCCATCACTGCTTCCCCCCTTAGAGGTAACTTAAAGGTTATGTAGTCAAACTCAGATTGGTCTTCAGTTTACAGGAAGTCAGGGCCCCAAGCCAGGCTCCTGACTCCTACTTCCATGATGTTTCCACCACTCCTCACTAATTTCCCTTACTGACTAAGATACTGGAGGTAGAGGAATTAGGCATTAAAAGATTAGTTTTCAATAGGAGATGGGAGCTCCTCATTTTAAGGCCGGAGTCCCTACATAAGCCCCTGCCCTGGAATCCAAGATGCTGCTTCTTCAGTTTTACCTGGCAGGGCAGATTACCCAATAAGCAAGGTAAGCACAGTTTACTTGTGCTTACTGACTAATCTGTAGTGAACAATTTCACATGGATTTCACCACATCTCTGTGTGTTTGTGTTTACTTTGCTTACTGAGTAATCCATCCCTGTCAGGGATTGTGAATTTGTATAGAGGCTTTGATTCTGTAGGAAGGTGCTGTGAGTTTGGACAAGACACAGACGCCAGCCACACCTAGAAGAAAAATCTTCGATATGGTGAAAAAAAATATGAAATTGTTCACTACAGATTAGTAAGTAAGCACAAGTAAGCCTGTGCTTACCTTGCTTATTGAGTAATTCGCCCTTGCACCTGGGCATAAATTCCTGATTCAGATTCATTTAAATGTGTCACAAGTAGCAAGAGGCAGACCGTGTCCCTAAACGCAAGCAGAGCGAGAACTGAAGATGGAAGGTAAAGATGGGCTGGGAGAATTTCACTACCCACCTTTGCCATGGGAGGAGAAGAGCTTAAACTCTCAAGGGACGTGAATTTGGACATTTCTTTTTTGCAGAGAAACCAGGGAAGTGTCCCAAAGAGAGACTCCACTGTACTTCTTTGACTTTTAGCTGCCAAAGGGATATCGACTGCCAAGATTACCTGAAGTGCTGCAGTTTCAACTGTATGAAGACGTGCTTGGATCCGTACAAAGGTAGTGCCATCCAGGCTGGGAGCAGAAGTGCCTTTTGAGGTATCCCACTTCTTGTTCTGCCCAAGAACTGGGACAGCAATTCTCTCTGATGGCAAGACAAACAGACTAGAGCTCATGCTTCTCTCGTCTCCTAATTTGACTCCCAGCCCTCAAGTACAGACCACGAGTCTAGGCATAAACCAACCAAAAACCAAATCCATTGCCATCGAACCAATTCCAACTCATAGCAACCCTATAGGACAGAGTAGAACTGCCCTATAGGGTTTCCAAGAGTGGCTGGTGGATTCGAACTGCCAACCTTTTGGTTAACAGCCTTAGCTCTTAACCACTGCACCAATGGATAATATTAATGCTAGTCTTCTTTTGTCAACACTCAATCATTCACAAATAACTAATATTTCTTGCCTGCCCACTAGGTGTCAAGAGTCTGTTCTTGGCACTGGAGCAAATACAAACCTGAGTTAGCTGAGATTCTAGGGCAGGTTTTGAACTCTTTGTCCTTCAAGGAGGTTTTCTGGTAACTCAAATAGTGAGCATCTAATTTTCATAGGGGACTGTGAGTTTTATAAAGATTCATTCATTCATTCAACAAATATCTGTTGTCAATGCCCTTTGGCCAAAGACCACCATGAACAGGCCAGTAGTTGAACAAGTTGAGTTTATTACTCACTGCAGCAAGGAAGAGTGTTCACCGTAGAGAATCACGAGGCATCTTAGTAAGAGGCTGTTAGAAACTATTATGGGATTTGGGCTTTGGTTGGGTGATTTGGGGATGGATCTAAGAAGTAGATTGTGTGCTGTCAGAAAGTGGGATCGATTCTATGCGTGGATATTTCAGGGAGTCTTATCTATAGAGACAACAGATTAGAATGATGATAAAGCTTTAATGGGTACACAAGCATCAGTCACTCATATTAGCAAAGAGAAAGGAATGTTTGCTATTTTGTGGGTTTCACAGTGATCTTGTTTTGTCTCACTTTATCACGGTCTCAGAGTGACTTATCTGACGTGCTTGCTCTGTGATTTGTTTATGTCCAACAGGAGAATAACGTGGCTTAGCTCTGAGCATCACGTCTGTTTCCAGACACCAATGGGATACCTTTTTTCTTTCTCAGTATTGAGTTTCTTCTATATACCAGGCATTATGTTAGGCACTTTGAATACAGTTGCTAAACAAGGCTTGCCTTCCCAAAGCTCAGACCAGTGGAGAAAGATCAACTCTAAAGTACTCTCATCTGCTCCTCGCAATTTCCTTCACAAGACAGAGCAGAGAAGCTATACAATATAGAATATTAGTAGTAGAGCTAGGACTAGAACCTATGCCTTTTTTGATCATTGCTCTTTCTATGACTTGTGTGACAACACCATGTACTATCGCAAAGGCTGAGGAACTGACTCCCTACCTTTATCCCTACACTTCATTATGTTCTTCCTTCTTTGCTTCTGGTCCTCAGACCCTGCTTGCTGCCACCTAAGCCAGGAGACTGCCATGATCAAGAGAAGCGCTATTTTTACGACCCTAAACAACATCAGTGCATAAGTTTTGTGTATGGAGGCTGCCATGGGAACGTCAACAACTTCCTCTCCGAGGCTAACTGCAAGAAGGCCTGCGCACGAGTCTGTGAGATACAGATCCCTGGCTGTCTGAGAGCCTAGTCCAACTAGAAATAGTATACCAGTGCAGCTATAGACTCACGCTTTAGGGTTAAACTACCTTTAATCAAGTCTTGATTCTGTCACTCATTGGCTGGATGGTCTTCAGTCAGTTTCCTGTCTTTTACGAGTTCCAATTTTCTTGTTTATAAAATGGGGATAGTAATAGTACTGACGTAATGGAGTTGTTGTTGTGCCAAAAAAATGAGACAGTGTACGTAAAACGTTAATAAATTTTGACCAGTGGAGCATGAGAAGCAAGCGTACCCCTTGGAGGCAGGTGTTTCCTCAACACATCCACCTGTTGAGCATCACTCTGAGGACTCATCCAAGAATGAAGCACAGACAGGCCAGCTCTGGAACTCCTTGGAGGAGGTATAGACCACAGGAGTGAAGAGTGGGATGGGATGAAGGTGAAGGCTGTGGATTCACTCCTTAGTGTAATGATAATCAACATTCATATTGGGAGACAGTGCTCTGCAGAGCTTAGGAATTGTATGACCTGGGTTAAAATCCTGCTTTTCCGACTTACTGCAAGTTTCTCCACCTCCTTGAGTTTCCATTTCCTCATCTATAATACTGGAGTCAGAAACCCTGGTGGCATAGTGGTTAAGAGCTATGACTGCTAACCAAAAGGTTGGCAGTTTGAATCCACCAGATGCTCCTTGGAAACCATATGGGGCAGTTCTGCTGTGTCCTATGGGTCGCTACGAGTCAGAATTGACTCGACGGCAACAGGTTTGGTTTTTTTAGTACTGGAGTAATAGCAACACCTCACTGAGTTGTTGGTAGGATTATATGCAACTGAGGACGCAAAGGCTTAGATAGTGTGGGCTCACTAAATGGTAACAATTGAGATGACCATTGATCTTCAAAATGCAGCACTACATGCTTTATAAGGCAGCATTGGGATTTTTACCTCCTATGACTCTGTGACATCTGTCATTTTATAGATGAGGAAACAGCCAGAGAGGGAAAATTAGTTGCCCAAGGATGCACAGTGGGTCAGAAGTAGAGCTGGAATAAGAACATGGGCCCAGTGAGCCTGGATGAGCAAGGCAATCCTGTGGCCCGACTGGGTGAAACTAGGACCAAAGCTTCCCTTTGTGGGAGGCTGTTAGGAAGCCAGTGCTATGAACCAGATTTTGGCCCTCTCTCTCAAAAGTGGAGACAGCGGCAAGAAGAGACCAGAAAAATGGGCTTGGGCTAGAGTTTGTGGGAAATTTAGGTTTGGGGGCTCAAGGAGAACATGACAATACTTCTAAGAGTCAAACACATCATAGTCTGTCTGAGTCCAACCTGGGAAAGAGGAAAAAAAGAAACAATTCCTGCCTCATAGAATTGGCAATCAGATGAGGACAACAGGAGCCCTGCATAAAATCCTGAAGAATTGTGATGCAAACAGTTAACACACTCAGCTGCTAACCAAAAGGTTGGAGGCTCAAGTCCACTCAGAGGTGCCTTGGAAGAAAGGCCTGGTGATCCACTTCCAAAAAATTAGCCATTGAAAACCCTGTGGAGCACAGTACTACTCTGACAGGTATGGGGCTGCCATGAGTCAGAATCGACTCGATGGCAACTTGTTGTACTGGTAATGGCCAATAACCTGCAAGATTATAGCTCCAGCCTAAACCTCACTCCCAACTATAACTTCCCACTCTACACCTCCACCTGCATATCTCACAACTTCTCACACTTAACTCGTTTAAAACTGAACCCCTTATCATCCCTCCCCCACTTAAAATCTGTTCTATCCATAGCTTTCCCAATCTTGGCTGAATAAACTTTGAAATCACCTTGATGCATCTCTTTCTCAGTCAACATCCATTAAGTTAAACCCATTGCTGTCAAGTCAATTCCAACTCCTAGCGACCCTAGAGAACAGAGTAGAACTGCCCTATAGGGTCTCCAAGGAATGGCTGGTGGATTCAAACTGCTGACCTTTTGGTTAGCAGCCAAACTCTTAACTAGTATGCACTAGGGATCTTCCATTAAGTTATGAAATAATTTTAGTTCTGCCTTGAAAATAGAAACAGAATCTGACCACTTCCTACCACATCCAGAGCTGCCATTCTAATGTGAGTCACCATCGCCTCTTACCTGAATTACTGAAACAGTCCACTAACAGGTCTCCCTGATCCTATCCTGACTTATTATAGTCTAATATCAGCAGACATTAGAAAACAAAAATCCTTCCAACTGGGCCAATAAACATCACCAGAAGTGGCAAAGGAATTGAAGTTGTCCAGGATTTCATCTTGTTCAACGTTCAATGCTCAGCAGTCAAGAAATCAAACGATGTGTTGCATTAGGCAAATTTTAAAGTGTTTAAAAGCAAAGATGTCACTTTGACAACTAAGGTGAGCCTGACCCAAGCCATGGTATTTTCAGTTGCCTCATGTGCATGCAAAAGCTGGACAATGAAAAAAAGAAGACTGATGAAGAATTGATGCATTCAAACTGTGGTGTTGGTGAAGAATATTAAGTATGTCATGGACTCCTGGAAGAACAAACAAATCTGTCTTGGAAGAAGTACAGCCAGAATGCCCCTTAGAAGCAAGAATTATGAGACTTCATCTCCCTTACTCTGGACATGTCATCAGGAGGGACCAAACGCTGGAGAAGGACATTATGCTTGGTAAAGCAGAGGGTCAGCGAAAAAGAGGAAGACCCTCAATGAGATGGGTTGACACAGTGGCTGCAACAAGAGGTTCAAACATAGCAACAATTGTGAGGATGGCACAGGACCTGGCAACATTTCATTCTGTTATACATAAGGTGGCTATGAGCGAGAGCCGACTCAATGGCACCTAACAACAACAACATCAACACAGTAACCACAATGATCCTTTGAAAACATGAGTCAGATCATGTCACACTCTTCTACCAAGAACACTGCAATGGCTCCTCATTTCACTCAAAGGAAAACCAAATCTCCTAAAATTGTTTACATTAATTTTTTTTTTAGATTTCACATAATTATCCCCATTTTAGAGAGAAGGAAACTGTAGTCACTCATTTAGTGGCAGGACTAGGACTTTACCATGGGGCTTCAGACACCAAATCCAGCATTCTTCCTACTACACTCTATGATATGGTAAAACACTTCATTCCCCCACAGCCTACTAGAGGTAGACAGCGTAGGGGAACCAAGTCACAAGAAGGGATACTAGCTTTGAAGGAAAGAAAAGCTGTTTAAAGGGTGGTGGGATGGGGTGGGGTTTGAAGGAGCCGGAGCTGACATCTACTCTTCTTTTAGTCAAGAAGGGACAGTGCCCGCTCTTTCCTTTCAACAACCATATGCAGTGTCCAAATTCGTGCAGGAGTGACTACGATTGCCCCATGACTGACAAATGTTGTGAATCCGCGTGTGGCTTTGTTTGCGCCAAGTCCGGGAAAGGTGAGGACTAGGGAAATACCTCCCAAAGTCTCCTGGGCATGGGTCAAGGATACTAGGCTGTCCCACTGAATGGGGGCGGGGGGGGTGTCTCGAACCTCAGCTGCCCCTTGGGTTGGTTGACCAATGAGTTCCCCTGGGAACCTTTTCCTTTTCAGTGCCCACCCAGTGCTCTCATGTTGCCCTCCCGGCCTCTGGAGGCAATTGTGCTGCTCTTTAAAACCAATCATGCATCACTTCTCATCTTCCCCATGAAAAGTTACTTGTTCTCATTCTCCAATGCCCTGCAAGGTGACAATATCCACCGATTCATACAAAAAAGTTAATGGTTAATAATCATTAAGTGTGTTCCTAACAAGCCCTCATGTCTGCACAGAACTTCAGAGTATGCACAGCATAGTCACATCCTGTGTGGTGTGCTGGGAAAAAGATTGGTAGCAAAATGCTGTTGGGATAGAAGCCAACTCTCCAGCCTCTGAGGCTGGTGCTCTTTCCTCCACGTTGTGTTGGGATAGCATGGGCATGTCCCAGGGATTGTCAGTGTTTTCAGGTACAGCAGGGTATGGCGGAAACAGCAAAAGGCTTTTCAATTGACTTCAACTTTTCTATGGGCTTTCTGTGTGGACTTAAGCAATTCACTTCCACCTATACGGTCCTCAATATCTACAATTTATAAACCAAGGAAGTTCTGGATGCTCTCTAATACTCCTCCACCTCTGGTACTCTGGGATTATAGAACCCAAATCCACTAATTTTGTAGGGGCAGGCAGGAATTCTATCAGATTGTTAGTCAGAGATGACAATACTTTTTGATGCTCTTCAAATACCGCTTGGGGTTCCCAAGATTCCCCAAATATGTCTTAACCTATGACCAAGTGTTTCACGGTGAAATGTCTAGTTTTACACCAGTGGTGCCTGACTCCATCTGTCTGTCTCTAGTCAAAAGCAGTCACTGTCCACATAAGCCCGAAAACTGTTTTAAGATTGAAGAACCCAAGTGCCAGCAGGATTATGATTGCAAAACACAAGAGAAGTGCTGCTTGTTTGTGGACTGAAGTGCCTGGCCCCTTTGGCATTTTTACATTAATTATGAGTAGTTTAATAAAAAAGCTATCAATTTTATTTGTCTTTTATCTAAATTGTCTTATTAATTGTAACAATCTTTCTTAGGGTTACTTTGTTTTTATATATAATCATATATGAAAATGATGATAAATTTGACTTTTCTTTTTTTCCAATTTTGTATGACTTCTTTGTTTCCTTGTCTTCTTATATTGTATAGACCCTCCAAAACAATGTTTAATGATAAAGACAATGACAGCTATTCCTGTCTCGTTCCTTATTTTAAAGTCAATAGTTTCTTCTGTATAAAATGACATTTGTTCTTGGGTTTGGGATAAATAGATTTTATCATGCTTAGGTTATTTCTCTTTTGTCTATTTACAGCTGTTATTAGAAATGACATTTTATCAAATTCTTTTTAAGCATCTAGTCATATAATGATGATCTTTTTCTTCCAATTTTTTGGTATAATAATTTATATTATTAAATTTTTGAACGTTAAACTGTGCTTGCATTACTGGAATCACCTTAATCATATTGAGGTATATACTTGTATTAATACACTGTTGGTTCTTTTAGCAAATAACTTATTGAGAATTTCCACATCGATAGTCATAAAAAAAGAGCCCTGGTGGCAGAACGGTTAAGTGGCTGCTAACCCAAATGTTGGTGGTTCAAACCTACTGCAGGAGAAAGACCTGGAGATCTGCTTCCATAAAGATTACAGCCTAGAAAACCCTATGGGGCAGTTCTACTCTGTCACTTGGGGTTGTTTTGAGTCAAAAATCAACTCTACGGCACCTAACAACAACAACATAGTCCTAAAAAATTGGTCTATAGTTTTTGTTGGTTTTGCTATTTGGGTCATGCTACTTTCAATAAATCATCATAGGAAACCAGTTGGGGACCTTCCCAACTGGTTTCCTATGATCTGGAATATTATCGATAATATAGCAATTCTTATTCTTGGACGAGTAGACAAAGCTCAGCTCCAAAAGCATCTAGGTCAAGTTCCTTCTATAACAGTATAGATTTTTAATAATTTTTTTTCCATTTCATCTTTTAGTTTGTATGGGCTGTCTACCTCCTTTTGTGTAAATTTTGGTCTTTTGTATTTTGCTAAAATTGGTTCATTTCTTCTATATTTTCAAATATTTTACATTAGAACAGCAAAAATTATTCTCTATATAACTGTTTTCATACCTTTAACTTTGGTTAATTTTTTATTCATACATTCATGTTTCCACCCATCCATCCCCATCTATCCGGCAACCACTTGATCCATTTACTCACAAATTCATCCGCTCACCAACCCATCCAAATATACAAACCCTATTCACCTAGCCCTCCACTGGCATATTTTTCAACCTATCTTTCTGCCTACTTATCCACTCACCCAAATGTCCGTTCACTTACTGTTATGAATTGAATTGTGTCTCCTCAAAATATGTGTTGGAATCCTGTCTCAGTCATCTAGTGCTACTATAAACAGAAATGCCACAAGTGGATGGCTTCAACAAAGAGAAATTTATTTGCTCACAGTTTAGTAGGCTAGAAGTCCAAATTCAGGGCATCAGCTGCAGGGGAAGGCTTTCTCTCTCTATCAGCTCTGGAGGAAGATCTTTCTCATCAATCTTCCCCTGGACTAGGAGCTTTTCTACACAGGAACCTCAGGGCCAAAGGACGTGCTCTGCTCCCAGCACTGCTTTCTTGGTGGTATGAGGTCCCCAACTCTCAGCTTGCTTCCCTTTCCTTTTAGCTCTTGTAAAATAAAAGGTGGTGCAGGTCACACCCCAGGGAAACTCCCTTTACATTGGATCAGGGATGTGGCCTTAGTAAGAGTGTTACAATCCCACCCTAATCCTCTTTAACATAAAATTGCAATCACAAAATGGAGGACAACCACATAATACTGGGCATCACGGCCCAGCCAAATTGATACACACATTTTTTGGGGGGACATAATTCAATCCATGACAAATCCTAACCCCTATGCCTGTGGATGTAATACAATCTAATGTAATGTAGTCATCTTTCCATAATGCAATCTAGTCTAATGTAATGTAACTAATCTGTTGAGGTCATACCAGTGTAGGGTGGATCCTGAGTTATATAAAGAGCAGTGTAGACACTGAGACATACATGCAGATACAAAGGGAAGGGAAAATAGACACTATCTGACGATGAAGACAGAGACAGACTAATCGACAAACTCAAGAACTCCAAGGATTGACAACTACTAGAAGCTAAAATAAACAAAGAAGAGCCTCCCCCTAGAGCCACACCCTGAATTCCGACTTCTAGCCTCCTGAACTGTGAGAAAATAAATTTCTGTTCTTTAAAGCCACCCACTTATGGTATTTCTGTTACACCAGCACTAGAAAACTAAGACACTTAACGTTCTTGCTCATCTTCCTTCTATAGATCAAGATGCTAATTGTATATACAGTCTTTCCTCCACCAATCTAATATCGACCTATTCATCTTTTACACACACATTCTCATACCCATCAACGCACTCATCCATCATTTCTACACCCATCTCCCCTTCATCTACCTACCAATCAATTAATCCACTTTTCATTCAAACAGCCTCCATCTATAGTCCTACCCATTCCAGTATTAGCCTATCCATCCTTATATTCAGCCCACTGCATGTCTTCACCCAGCCATTCATCCACCTATCCATAATCCATGTGTTCATACACCCAGGTATCCATGCTACCCTCACCCATCCCTACTCATCCAACTACCTCCTACTCATCCAACTGTCTTCCCATTCATCACTCTACCAACCACACATCTGACCACATATTTACATACCTATCCATATATCTACCAATCTCTCTACCTATCCACCTCATTCATCCATCGGAATATACTGAGTGCTTATTCTGGACCTATTCATGTTCAAAAAGGTCCCCAGGTGATACAAACCTGGTTTGCTCTCAGCTACTAACTGAAAGGTTGGTGGTTCAAATCCATCCAGTGGTGTCACAAATGAAAGGCCTGGTGATCTACTTTAGTAAGATTATAGTCATTGAAAACCCTATAGTGTACAGTTCTAATCTGAAACACATGGGGTCACCATGAGTCGGAAGTGACTCGACAGCAATGGGTTTTGGGTTTATCCATGTTCTAAGCACAAGGTTCTCGATACAGACCTGTTCAATGGCACTCAGAGCCTATTTAGGGAAACAAACAAGTGACTCATTAATACAGTTAGAGCACAGGGAGCAACACAGAAAGCCAGTGACAGGAATTAAGTGCATGTGACAAGTCTTAGTCTAATGAATAAGCAGGAGTTGCCAGATAAAGGCCAGGATTCTTAGCGCTTCTTAGAGTTACTCATTCTGAGCACAGGCTTCATTAGTAGAATGTAATAGTTACATTTCACCTGCTGGGAAAGTGAGATTTCTTGGGTGGGCCTGGAAATTAGGCAAGATGGAATGGGATAGAACAACCAGAATGTGTTCTCAAGAAAACTGACGGAAGGATGCAGCCTTATGAATTGAAATCGACTCAACGGCAATGGGAGACCTATTTGGACATATTCTAGCTCTATAAGTCTTCATCCTTTGTCCCCACTAAAGATATTACCTCATCTTCTTTGGACTCATCATTCTTCATCACCTTCAATAAAATATTATATCCATACCAATATCAGAAGATTCCCTAGTGACTTATGGCAAGAACTTACAGGCTCAACTCCATCCTAACCTTAGCTCTGACACTTACTAGGTGACATTGAGTCAGCATCTTCACTTATTTCCACCTTATGCACCCTACCTGTAAGATGAGGAAATGGGCATCGAAGGGTCTGCAGAGCCCTTCCACCTAGATATTCCAGGTTTCCACTGTCTCCTGGGTTGAGGTTGAGAGAATGAAGGGAGTGGAGTAGGAAGGACAGTACTACTTGCGACATTTTGGTTGTTCATTAGCAATCTAATTCCCTAGTCTGCTTGTGTGATCTTCTTCAAGTGAGATTGTGAAAGTGTTGGGGTGGAATTCTCATGGGGGCTCTGTCTGTGATCCTAAATTTTAGACAACATAGTCACTCACTGATGATAAGGCTGGGTTTATATGGCTTCTGTCCCTCATGTAGGACAATTTGGAGAACAAATCTTGGCCCAAAAGGGCAACAGCTAGTTAGAGAAGGAAAAGGGGAACCTACAAATAACATTTACCTTTTGAACAGTGTCTCTCCCACTACCAGGACTGATGGACTGGCTGATATTTTGGGTTCCGTGGCTGAAGCTGCCCAACTTCTCCAGCACCCTCCACTGGCCCATTAACCCTTCCACTGGCCATTAACCCTTCCACTGGCCCAGTTGCAGTCCATCCAACTCTGTTGTGTTATTGATCTTTACTGAGTTGTAGTCTTCCAGGCAGGTCTCTTCATCTCTCAATTCCTCCTCAAATGAACAGGAGCTTGTACCAGATGATAGACTCTCCCTATAAGCTCTATCATTCTCTCCTGCTCACAAAGCAACACCACCTTGACAGACTGTATTTGAAGACTTAGTTACCAGCCTGATTCCTCCTCCACAGCCTGCTCCGTGGCAACATCTTTACTCTTTGGCCTTGGCCAAAGAATATGGATGACCCAAAGAGAAGAGAAAAGGGAGACGGATGGGACAAAAGTGTGGGAGAGGGTGAAAGAGATGTGGAGACCATGGGAGACCCACAGAAAAAGAGGATAAGTCAGAGAGAGGCACCGAGAGGTGCGGAGAAACAAAATGATACCAAGTGATCAATAAAGACACACTGTCAGAGACAAACAGAAGAGTTGTGCCAGTTAGGAGAACAGATAAAACGGGAAATGAATGGAGAATGAGGACAATCCACGACCTTAAAGTTATCAAAATGAAGATCCCAGAGGGCGACATCACTTCTCCTAAGGTAGCCTGGAAAGTGTGAGACAAACTTTGCCCACTTCCCCTGGCTGACCAGAGAACCCAGCCCAGCCCAGGGAGCTGAGAATCAGAAGTCATCCAATAAGAGACCTCTCCCCCAGAGCTGTGGACTGTGGATGCCAGTCCCTGCTCAGGAACTTGGCGTTCCCAGCAGGAAAGGGGGTGGCTGGCTTGTCTCCAGTTCTCATATCCAAGATACTGGCTACTGAAGGAATAGGCTGGGCGAAAGCCGCCAGACACTTCCAAGTTCTGGAACTACCGGACAGGCCAGCCCCTCTTCAGAATGAAATCTTCTGGACTTTTGAGCATCCTGGTGCTGTTCATTCTCCTAGCAAATGGCCAGGGATTTGGGCTGAATGACTGGCTCTTCCCCAGTAAGTACTGGGCCCTCAGCCCTTGCCCTGGAGAAAGGGAAGTTGGCTGGGAGGAGGGAACAAGGAACAATTTCTTAGGCCTGGGTTGTATTCCACCATCTTAGCCCAGGTCCTGGTTTGGGAGATGAAGGAAATATTTGGAATAGTTCTTCCCATCTCCTTCCCTGTGGAATATCCCTTCCATGAATTCAAGAACCCAGACCTGAGACAACCCCCACTTGCTGCCCCTTCGAATTAGAGGGTCCTTCTTGTGATGGAGGGGGGGCAGGGTCACAGGATCTAGTCTTTATGGGAGAGACTATACGTTAGTTGTATAGGAATCTGGGAAGCTTAAGGGGACTTTCTGACTCCAGGGTGAATGATCTTAATCACTATACAATAGCGCCACCCAAGGGAACTCCCAGGCACTGACTCTTCAACAATGTCAAAGTGACCAGGTAAGCTTAGAGTAATGGTTCTCAATGGGGATGATTTTGCCCCTAGAAGGACATTTGCAATGTCTGGAGACATTTTTGGTTGTCTCAGCTGGGAGCTGCTACTGGCATTTAGTGGGGAGAGGCTAGGGATGCTACTAAACATCCTACAAGGTACAAGACAGTCCCCCACAATGAAGAATAATCTCACCCAGATGTCAATAGTGCTGAGGCTGCAAAACCCTACTTTAGAGGTGTGGGTTAGGGTCTGGGGTAAGAAGGCAGAGAGTAAGGGGTGGTTGGGAGGGAGGGTAGCATAGGCAGTGCTGGGAAATACATGAGGGCACCCAGAGGAAAAGGACTCCTGGGAGCTGACAAAATGAAAGCAAACTACCCTGACCCCCAGCATTGCCTTGAGTTGAAGAAGGCTGGGTGCTGTGCCCTCCAAGGCTCAAAGTGGTATGCCTACCCTTTCCTAGAGAAATGCCCCAGAATCAAAGAACAATGTGAATTCCAAGAAAGGGATCATTGTAAGAAGGATAGACACTGCCAGGACAACAAGAAGTGTTGCCTCTTCAGCTGCGGAAGAAAATGTTTAGACCTCCGACAAGGTAATAGAGTCTTAGAATAACCAGCCCCCCTACCCATGCCCTCAACTTCTACTTAACTGGGCTGGCATCATCCCCTGGTTGACTGGGGGCTGTTCTCTGGGCAAGATTGCTGGACTTCGGAGACCTGGGACTCAGATTCATCACTACCCCTAATATGGTGTCTGCAGGGTTTCCAACTGGTTCATTCCATTTCAAGCCCCTGTGGAGAATTTGCATTTCTAACAAGTTCCCAGGCGATGCTAATGCTGCCAGTTAGGGACCAATTCTGAGAACCACTAGTAGAGCAGTAGTTCTCAATTTTTATTATAATAAGAATCACCTGGGGATCTTGTTAAACTGTAGATTCAGATTCAGTATTTCTGGGATGGAAATGCAAATTCTTAGCAGGCGTTTGAACCAAAACAAACTGGTTTGAAGCCCTAGGTGTGTGATATTAGGTAATGTCCTCCTCCTGTATGGGCCTTGGTTTCCCCAGACGAAAGATAGGTATAGTTGAGGGATTGAACCAGATGGTCTCTTGGCTAATTTTTACTCTTTTATGATTTTCTGAGTCACCAGGTGGCCATTGTTGGCCCAACAGATATCAACATTGTTGCTGCAAGTGATAATTAAACAATTGTATTTCCTGTCTTTTTGCTCCAGAGTGGCCACCTCTCTGCCTATACAAATCCAACCTTATACCAGCCTCCACTTCTAGAAAGCCTTCCCTGACCACTCCAGACCAGAGATATTTTTCTTTGCTGCCACAACCTTAACTTCATGCCTCTCTCCCTGGGCTCCCAAAAGACTATCAAGGATTATCAATTTACTTAATAAATATGTACTAAGTGCTTCTGAGACCCATAATAGGATTAGAACTACCCAATGTGGTCAGAGAGGCTGGGGAAGGCTTCCCTGAGAAAGGCAACCTGGAGCTGAGACAGAAGGATGAGTAATAATTTAGGCAAAACTTGGGTGGAAGGACTTTCCAGGCAGAGGTAATGGCATGTACAAAAGCTCAGTGGTGGGAGGCATCATGGTGAGACCTAGGGAGGCCAGAGAGCAGACAGTAAACTCGAGCATGGTACAAGAAAAAACAATCCTAAGTAGTTAGGGATCAACTGGTGCAGTATCGAGTAGGCCAGGTTAAAGAGTCTCACCTTAATCCTAAAGCAATAAAAAATCCATTAGCGTGGGGCAGTGACATGACCAGGCTCATTCCATTTCTTCAGAGTGGGAAATGGAAGGAGGAGCAGAGTGTCTTGAAGGACTTCAGGATGAAAGAAAGTGGTAGCTTAGATGAGGGAGGTAGCTGAGGGGATGGAGAAGAGTGGGATGTGTTTGAGAGATACTTAGGACGTAAACAGGACTTGACAATGGACCAGAGTGGATAGGTGGGTGAAGGGGGCGGAACGTTGGTCCTTTGCTAGTGAGTATTCTGAATACAGACTTCCTGAATTCAAAACTTAGCTCCAGTTTTTACCAGGCTTTTTATCATGGGCGTATTTACAACTTTACTTCTCTGTGCCTTAGTTTCCTCAGATCACAAAAGGACCAATGTTAAAGGTTATTTTGAGGATCGAATAAATTGATGCACATGAAATGCATAGAACAATGCTTGGCACGTAGTAGCCACATGAGACATATTAGCTAGAGTTATTATTTGTTATTCTTGACTGGGAGCTTCCTAAAAAGCAGAGATCATGTCTTTTCTTTGTCCCTTGAAGCATTAAGCATGTAGTAGGTGTTCAATGGGAGTCCCCAGGTGGTACAAACAGTTAAAGTGCTTGGCTGCTAACCGAAAAGTTCAAGGTTTTGAGTTCACCCAGAGGCACCTTGGAAGAAAGGCCTGGTGATCTGCTTTTGAAAACTCAGGCATTGAAAACCCTATGGAGCACAGTTCTACTCTGACACACATGGGGTCTCCATGAGTTGCAGTTGACTTGATGGTAACTGTTTTTTTGTTTGTTGTTTTTATGTGTTCGATGAAAGATGGATTTAGTTCAGCTTAGGATACATTTCTTTTATCCTCAACATTCCATAAATCCTATACTGTGCCAGACTGCTTGCTAGGAATTGGAATTCCAAGATGAAATAAGACACAACCCACGCAACAAAATGACAAACATGAACACAAGATTCTGAAGCACTGTAGACAAACACAGGATCCATTCAGGCACCCATGGTGGCGTGGGATGTAGGACGGAGTTAGGAGAGACATCACAGAGGAGTTGATGGCTGAGACAGACTCTGAAGGAAAAATAGGCATGTCGTAAATGAGCAACCATTGTGGGCAGAGGGGATAGCGGGTGGAAGGCATGGAGATGTGAAATAGCATGGTGTGTTGAGTATTGCTGGAGCATGTAGCTCAAAGGGGGACTGTGGTCAGAGAGGAGGCTAGAGTCATGAAGGGGCTTATGGATCATGGGCAGGACTTTGTCTGGAGTAATGGAGGTTTTTATCTGTGGAATGACATGATCAGCTTTACTTTCAGACCCATCAGACCCTTCATTCTTGTAGGCAACATGAAGGCCTGATTGGAGGGGCCAGGACTGGAGACAGGAGGATCAATTCAATGTTATCTCAACAGCCCAGGCTTGAGATGTTGAGGCAGAGAGGTGAGCTATTAGGAGGTAAAAATCAGCAGGAGTTCATTGTTTGGCTGTGGGGACTTACACTCATGAAACTCATAGTTTAGTTGGAATCCAAACTCACTGCAATATAAAGTCTAAAGTGACAAATGATCATTAAAAAAATTTATGCGGTAGATTAGTGTCCCAAGGAGGAAAAAGTAATTGGCCACAGAAAAACTACCCTCTGCCCTGTGTGAACTTGTCCTTTACTTATATTCCCTTTCCTTGGCACAGTTTGGAAGACAGAGTGACTGGCTTATAATTTATAATTTTCAAGCCATTTCCATACCCTCGATTCATTTAGGACGTATATACTGAGTAGCTGCTCTCTGTCCGGCCCAGTGCTAGAACTGAACAACCAGATACAGTCAAGGAGCTCACAACTTAGAGGGCCATGAGGGTGACCTCATTTGCCCTTCACAATAGACCTGGGGGATAAGCAGGGTGAGATATTGCATTCCCATTTCACAGATGAGGAAGTCAAGGACCTAAAAGGTAAAGTGGGTGGTTGATGTGCACACAATGAGTAAGGAACCAAGTCCTGAACCAAAGTTCACTCTTAGTGGAGACAATGAGGCCTGTGGCCAGAGAAGGGGGAGGCCAATGGTCCCTGGGGAGGCAGATGCCAAATGTCTATGCAAATCTATGCAAATGCATTAAAGCTACTAGGCTCATGATAAGGGAAAAGGAGCCCACTCCTGTCTTGTCTATGGTGGTTGCCAGGGGGAATGAATAACAACTGTTCTTTCCTAGACAGCACCCTGAGTACTCAACTCTAGGCTCTTCCTACAGACATATGCAAATTGCCAAAAGAAGCTGGCCTCTGCATGGCTTATTTTCGTCGCTGGTGGTATGATAAGGAAAATAACACCTGTAGCAGCTTCATCTACGGTGGCTGCCATGGGAACAACAACAACTTCCAATCCAAATCCCTCTGCCAGAACTTCTGCCAAAAACAGGTGAGTCCCAGAGACCCCAGTCTTCCATCCTCACCAGGACCACCCTGGGAGGTCTGGGTGCTGGGTGACCCATTCCAGGATGGCTATGACCTCGGCAGACCTGGTGCTGACAGACCAGCTCCCATCGGGGGTGAGAATGCACCTTGCAGAGGGGTAGGCAGAATAGTTTCTGGGATCTGAGGCTAGGGAGGAAGGTGGTTATTAATAATACAGTCAAGGAGGGGAATTGTCAGGGGAGCTAAGAGGGGTAAAGGAGGATGCAGAAGTGGTGAAATCTCAGAGACCAATTCCAGAAGGTTGTGTCCAGCCCAGACCAGACATTACTGACCAACCCACCATTCCAGGCCATTCACTTCCTCATCACAATGCTTTAGCAGCAATCCACACCCATTTGTTTTTCCTTTAAGGAGATTTATAGCCACCAGGTAGTACCTGGGTGGTGCGAAAACAGTTAACACGCTCAGCTGCTAACCAAAAGGTTGGAGGTTTGTGTCCACCCAGAAGCACCTTGGAAGAAAGGCCTGCTATCTACTTCCAAAAAATCAACCATTGAAAATCCTATGGAGCACAGACACACATGTAGTCTCCATGAGTTGTAGCTGACTCAATGGCAACGGAGTTTTCATATACATATATATATCGAAAAGCAAACCCACTTCTTAACATTCTCCTGTGAAAAGATGTACAAACATATTTTCTAGACTAGTTCTGAAGATAAGCTCAGCCCAAGCTGCTTACCTGGTCTCTCCTACATTCTCAATAGGCTCCCCGTTCTGGAGGGATAAGGATGCACTGGAGTGATCCAGGATTTGGCTGAGGACCCAAGGCTCTCTCCATGCGCCTGACTGCTGCTCAAAGATGGCGTCTACTGTTCCACTCTCAGCTTTCCAAGGCCTGGCTCTTCTCAAAACTGAACCCTGGCATCTGCTTCCCCCTCCTCCAGCTCAGCCTCTTTTCAGACATAATATTTTTCCTTGTGACCCTTTCTCTATGCCTCGCTTCTTAATCTCCAACTTTCAGAGCCCCTATTTATTGCTGTGTAACTTCCAATTTTTCCCAGTAAAGTGCTTTGTTGAGTCCTGTGCCTCTGAGGCTGACTAATTCATGTCTGTTCAGCACATGACACTTTGCAGAGAGTAAGGGGTCATTGGGGCTTCTGGGGACACCTTTGCAGGGAATAAGGACAGTCAGAACCTTGGGAGTTGACAGCCCTTGGGATATTGTTACCTTCTTCTGTTTCTTCAAAACATTGTAAAAGCCTTTAAGACAAGGGCCTGTGGGCATTGTCTGAGTTTAGATCCCCAAGAAGCCAACCCTGGGACAAGGGCATGGGTGCAAGTAGTTTATCTGGGAAGTCTCCCAAGAAGCACAAGGGAGAGAGTGGGGTAAGTGATACAGGGAAGAGAGAAGAGTTGATAACGGACTGGTTACCACTGTGGGAAACTGTGGTTCCTTCCAGCCAGGGACCTTCTAAGGGACCATATAAATCATACGTCCAAATTTTCCTCTTTCGTCTCCAGTGGTGGGGAAGTTGAGGCATACATCCACAGATTCCCATGCCCCACTGGATGCCTCTGTATTAAATCACTTGGTCTTCCAAACTGCCCATATGCAAGCTGAACAAGCTTCCATGGAGCCAGAGAAAACCCACAGCAGAGAAGACTCTGGCACTTAAGGTAGATGCTGTCAGTGTGCACTGATACTGTCCCCCGCAGCTGCAGGGGACAGCAGAGGTGAGCCAAGAGTGTACTGGGGTGGGGCAACAACAGTGCCTATGACAGTCTACCATTTGCATTGTTCAGATTCATTCATACCCCACATTGAGTTCACTCTCTTACTGAGGCTTCAAGACTTAAGTTGAGAGGCTCAGTAGAACAATCTTCAGGCCCCACTGCTACAGCTAGTTATGAAGCCATGGCTGACATTTATCAGCTCCCTCTTGCATCACCTATTCCAAATTGCACCCAGAGATAGAAGCTTTCAATTAACTCTAACATATTCTGCTCTCAAAGGACCACGACTTTGACGGAAACGATCTGAAGATTTGGTAATCAATCTGGTTCCTCCTCCACACCACGCTCATGGTGATACCTTTACTTTCTGACAAGGGCTAAAGAAAAGGGGTGGCCAAGGGGGAAAAGAGAAGAAGAAAGACATAAGGAAAGTGAAGGAGATGGAGAAAGAGATCCAAACAGAGACAGACCCATAGAAAGAAAGAGAGAGGAACAGAGTAAAAGACAGCAAGAAGCATAGGCACAAAGTAAAAGCACAGCAAGAAACACAGAGAGAAGAAAAAGAAATAGTGTAAGGAAAATAATAAACATGTTGGGAAAAGAGTAAAAATGGAGAGGAAGGATATCCTTGACTTCCAAACTCCCCCTGGAAACCTGAAGTTGAGCATTCCCTCCCACTAAGGGAGTCTGGAAAACCCTGAACAAGATTTGTCCCCACTCCCTGGTTGACCAGATGGCTAGCCCAGCCCAGAGAACTAAGGTTTAGGAGTCACCTATCAAGAGCCTCCAGGGCTGGGTCTGTAGGTGCCAGCTAGTTCACTGATGGCCTCAGGGTCTTGGTGCTCCACAGTGGAGGAAGTGTGGCTGGCTTGTCTCCAGTGGTGCTGGCTCCTGTGGTGCTAGGTTGGGCCAGGGTAGCCAATGTTCAGAGGCAAGAGCTGCTGAGCAGCAGTCCGTCATTTTTATGCCATTGGCCAGGCCAGCTCCTCCTAAAATGGGGCCCTCGGGAGTTCTCCCAATCCTGGTACCATTCATCCTCCTGCGGAGTGTCCAGGAGCTTGCACTGGTTGAGGGATTCGGAAGCAGTAAGTATTGGGAACTCAGTGCTTGCTCTGGTGAAAGGGAATTTGACTGGGAGGAAGGAACAAAGAACAATTTCATAGCCCAGGAATGCCCCCTGCCCCACCTCAGCCTGGGATCCTGGGTGGGAGGGAGGAGATACATTTGGAGTCATTCTTTCTGCCCTCTTCCTCTTGGTAAGATTCCCTTGGTGAATGAAAGAACCTGAGTCTGTGGCACCTGAGCCCACACCGCCATACTGAGGAGGAGTGCCTCCTGGAGGGGCTTGAGCCTGGTGCTTCTGAAACAGACCAAGGGAAATGGGAAACCTAAGGGCCTTCCCTACAAGAAAGACAGGCTGCTACTCCAGCACCACCCTCATCAGCTTCCACATCTTCCTGTTGCAGCCCCCAAGAGTCTCCCCACCTCCATGCCCACAGGGGAGCCTTGGCTTTGGGGTAAAAAACAGTTTCCAGAAATCCTTTGGAATGCTGAGCTATGAAGACTTCATAATTAACAGCTAAAATATACTGAATACTCAGTAGGGGCTGAAAGAACATGCTGAGGAACCACACACCACTACTGCTCAGTAGCCGTGTGACCTTGGGCAAGTTCACATAATCTGCCTTTGTTTCGGATTCTTCATTTATAAAATGTGAGCATTGGTGAGACTTAGCCATAGAGCTGTAATGAGGATTAAATGAAAAAAGGCCAGACACATAGTAAGTGCTTCATCAATATTAGTCATTATTATTATGCTCCAGGCAGCATGACAATGGCTTTATAAGCTTGGTGGTATCCATCCTCAAAACAATCCTGTGAGGCAAATGAGAAAATCAAGGTTCAGAGAGGGTGCATGAGTACTAAGGGTTGCACAGAATTCAAAAGCCCACCAGCTGACTCTAAAAATGGATATCTTGATCACCATGTGCTATAGCGCCCCCGAGAGGACTGTCCAAAGGCAGCAAGGCCCTAGAGAAGAGGGTCCTTCTCCCAGGAACCTTGAGGGTGGTGAGGGTTTGGGGTGGGTGTTTAGAGATTAAATAGTGAATTGTTATGGGGCTGGGGGCATGGACAGTACTGTGAAAATCCTGAGCCCCTGGAGTTCACTGCCTTCTGGGAACAGGGTAAGTGAAAACAAGCTTCCCTAACTCCACAGTGGTGCCCTAGGCCTGGGAAGAGAGGGATGCTGGCTTCTTCAAGGCCCAAGTGAGTATATCTTCCCCCTCCCTCAGAGAGATGTCCCCGAATCAGAGTAAAATGCGAAGTCCAAGAAAGGGACCAATGTTCTATACGCAGACCTTGCCCCGGGAGCCTGAAGTGTTGCACATACAGCTGTGGAAAGAAATGTTTAGACCTCAGACAAGGTAATATACAGAGCCCCTGATTACCTAATGCCCTTGTCCCTTTCTGTCCTTGTCAGACCCCTCCCCTGGGTCACTGGGCTGGGCTGGTCTCTGACCAAGAGTCTGGGCACATCCTCCACTTGATACAAATCCTAAAAGTGCTGGTCTTGGGAGGCATGGATTTGATTTCATTCCTGCTTCTATTACAGTATGTAACATGAGCAATGTCATTCTGCTTTCCGGGCCTCAGTTTCCTCATTCATAAGATAAGCGTGGGTATTGGACCACATGGTCTCTCAGCTACTCGTCTGTGATTCTCTGAGATGCCAAGTAGCCACTGAAGTCCAATGAACTGCCAAGATTTTGTCAGGTGATATGATAACTCTAAGAGACAGGTATACGATTTGTATTTTCTGGCTTTTTTATCCAGGCCTCTCTGTCTATATAAATCCTGACCATCTTTGACCTCCTACACTCATTACTTTCTGCCCATATCATTGGGCTCTAAAGAAGACTATCAAGGACTATTCAGGACAAATTCATTCAAAAAATATTTACTGGTGCTCCTGAGGCCCATGATGGAATTCACTTGCTCAACATGGTCAAGAAAGTCAGGAAAGATTTTCACAGAAATAGGGATCCATAACTTATGAAAGATGGGTAGTTGGTAGGTAAGATTGAAGGGAAGAGCTTCCCAGACATAGAGAACAGCATGTGCAAAGGTCATGTGTTGGGAGGCAGCATGGTGAGGCCTGGGGAGGCCAGGGAGCAGAGAGTAAGTGTGAGCATAGTAACGGATGAGAATGGTGGGGAAAGATGAAGCTGGACTAGGTAGGGAGGGTTCCAGCAAGGCAGGTTAAAGAATCTGGTCTTGATCCTAAAAGCAATGGTCTATCTGTGTTCAAATTCCTTACCAACTGTGTGACCTTGGGCAAATAACTCCTCTGAGCATAGGTTTCCTCATCTGTAAAATCAGGACAATCAGAGAACCTACCTCATTAATTCTGCACGTTAATATATGTCAAGTGCTTAGAACAGTGCTCGACATTTTAGTAAATGCTATAATTATCGTTTTTGCTGTGCTTCAGACTATGAGCTTCTAAAGAACTCTATTTGTAACTTATAGCACTATGTATAGAACAGGTACTCAAAAAATGCTTTCAGGATAAATTTGATTTTTCACTGTGAACATTTCTGGAGCACTCTGTACCAGGTTATCTGCTAGGAACTGGTGTACCAAGAAGATCTAAGACATAATCCTTACCTTCAAAAATCTCACATTTTCATGGACGAGTCAGAAGATGTGACCATTTAGTTATAGAAATGACAAATGTATGTGCAAATTGAGAAGCAGTAAAGAAAAGCAAGGGACAAAGAATGGAACCAGAAAAGACATCACAGCAAAGAGCTGATGTCTAGGAAGGGTTTTGAAGGATGAATAGGAGTATATCTAGTTAGCAAGAGAAGGATGGGCACTCCAGGTATGTGCAAAGTCATGGAAATGTGTAAGAGCTAGGTATTTTTAGACCATGAAGTTTGAAAAGATGGGTGTTGGGAGAAGTGATAAGAATTAAAGCTGGAGAAGAGAAAGAGGAAACAGATTCTGAGGTCTTTCTGGGGTTTGCTAGAACTTACCTTGAGCCTGGAGCCCTGGTGGCACAGTGGTTAAGAGCTAAGGCTGCTAACCAAAAGGTTGGCAGTTTGAATCCACCAGCCACTTCTTGAAAACCCTATGGGGCAGGTCTACTCTATCCAACAGGGCCGCTATGAGTCGGAGTCAACTCAATGGCAACGGGTTTGGGTATTTTTTGGTTGGTATCTTGAGCCCAGTGGATCAATAATTCTGGAAACCAATGTAGAGTAGGTTGTAAAAGTCTTGGAGATCAGTTGGTGGCCTTTCATGGCAGTTCTGGCCAGAAATAATGGTGCTTGAATTAAGAAAGTGGCAGGAGGGAAGTAAAGGAGAGCTGTTTAAGAGGTAAAACCAGCTAGATTTCGTTGTTCAGCTGTGAGGGAGGCACAGCAAAAGAGGTAATGTGGTATGGTCTCATTTGCTCCTTACAACAGCCCTGTAAAACAAGCAAGGTGGGATTTTGTATTCTGATTTTACAGATGAGGATGTCTAGGACCAGAGAGATAAAGTGAATGGTTAAGATTCACACAGAATTAGGAGAAGAGCCTTGAGCCAAAGTCACCTGACTCTCAGTGGAGACAATGACAGCAATGGTCAGAAGAAGGAGGAGTTCTACATTCTCAAAGGAGGCGGACACCCAAACAGCTCTGCTCTGTGGTCTCCCTGCAGACATATGCAGCATGCCCGAGGATACTGGCCCCTGCCTGGCGTACATTCCACGCTGGTGGTATAATAGGGAAACCAAGAACTGCTACAAATTTATCTATGGTGGTTGCCTAGGGAACAGTAACAACTTCCAGTCTGAATCTATCTGCATGATCAGCTGCCATAAAAAAAGTAAGTCCTAGGGGCCCCAGTCTCCTATCCTCTCCAGGGCCACACTGGGCGGTCTGGGTGTCACTTGGTTCATTCCAAGATGGCTATGACCTTGGCAGACCTGGCACTGACAGAGCCAGCTCCAAACAGGGGGATAAGAATACACCATGCAGACAGGTGGAAGGATTATTTTGGTAAAGGAGGGGATGATAAGGGAGGCAGTAGTCAAAGCGAAGCTGGCAAGTATGAAGTGAGTGGAGGGTGCAAAGAAAGGAAGCAGAGATGGAGGCGTGTCCAAAGCCAAGTCAGAAGTAGGCATAGTAACCCCAGCCCAGTGCTAGACACCATTGACCAGCCAATCATTCCAGGCCTTTGCTTTTTCCCAACCCTCATGACCAATTCTCTTCATCTTTCTTTTAAGGCAATTTATAGTCAGGGCAACCACATCACTTATTGGCCAAACCAAGACACTTTTGAGAGTGAAAGGGGTATCCTTCATCATTACACTGGGGCAATAGGCTCTGCTAGGCTCTACTGGACAAATCAGAACATATGATCACTCTGTGAGTCCAAACAAGCCACTCGGCTTCTATTGGTTCTTCCTGTGGAAGGATGTAACAATGAGCCCATCTCCTTCCATTAACTGTAAGGTTTGGCTCGTAAGAGGGGCAGAGCCCGAGCTTCTCACCCTATTTATTCTCTCATCTCACAGGCTCATCATCTTCCTGGCTAACCTGAGGAGGAGTGGGAACAACCCCCAAGATATGGCTTATAATCCAACGGTCTCTCCATAGATGCCTGATCAATGTGCCATATTCACTTCCACTAGCCAAGTCTCAGCTGCCAAGATCTTGGATGTTCCCCAAACTGCCCACCAAGATTTGCTTTCTCCCTTTCCTCCAGCTCAGCTTCTTTTCAAACATAATGTCCTCCCCTCTTTAACCCCTTAACAGGGAATGTAATCCTATCTCTTCAACTTTCAGGGCTCCCATTTATTCCTATGAAGCCCCCACTTTGCCTAGTAAAGTGCTCTGTGAGGCCTGATATCTCTGAAGCTCAGTAATTCACATCTGTTCTCTGTCTGCAGTTATATGCAGAACAAGAGGTCACTGGATTTTCTGGTGACACAGAAATGAGAGTAAAGAGTATTAAAATCTGTACATTTAGAACTCTGGTGATTCTATAACCCCGGCAAAATTGTCATAAGACTTAACAACATAGCAGGGGAAGATCAAGTTTTATATGGTCTAAAGCTTATCAGGTGGGGCCCTGGTGGCATAGTGGTTAAAGAGTTTGGCTGCTAACCAAAATGTAGGCAGTTTGAATCCACCAGCTGCTCCTTGGAAATCCTACGGGGCAGTTCTACTCTATCGTATAGGGTCACTATGAGTCGGAACCAACTTGAAGGCAATGGGTTTTAAGGCTTATAAAATTCTTGTTGTTTGTTGCCGTTGAGTCAATTCAGACTTATAGCGATCCCATGTGTTACAGAGTAGAACTGCCCCATAGGGTTTTCTTGGCTGTAATCTTAACAGAAGGAGATCAGCAGGCCTTTTCTTCCGTGGTAACACTGGATGGATTCGAATCACCAACCTTTAGGTTAGCAGTAGAGCACAAACCTTTTGCACCACCTTTGTTGTTGTTAGGTACCATCCAGTCGACTCCGACTCATAGCAACCCCACATATAACAGAACAAAACATTGCCTGATCCTGTGCCATCCTCACAATCGTTGCTGTGTTTGAGCCCCTTGTTGCAGCCACTGTGTCAATCCATCTTGTTAAGGGTCTTCCTCTTTTTCACTGACCCTCTATTTTACCAAGCATGCTGTCCTTCTCCAGGGATTGGTCCCTCCTGATAATACGTCCAAAATAAGTGAGACGAAATCTTTCCATCTTCTAAGGAGCATTCTGGTTGTACTTTCTCCAAGACAGGTTTGTTTATTCTTCTGGCAGTCCATGGTATAGTCAATATTCTTCACCAACACCACAGTTCGAATGCATCAATTCTTCATCAGTCTTCCTTTTTCATTGTCCAGCTTTTGTATGCACATGAGGTGATTGAAAATACCATGGCTTGGGTCAGGTGCACCTGAGTCATCAAAGTGACATCCTTGCTTTTTAGCATTTAAAAGAGGTCCTTTGCAGCAGATTTTCCCAATGCAATATGTCTTTTGATTTCCTGACTGCTGTTTCCATGGGTATTGATTGTTGATCCAAGAAGAACAAAATCCTTAAGAACTTCCATTTCTTTACCATTTGTCATGATGTCGTTTACCGGTCCAGTTGTAAGGAAAATCCTTGTGCCACCTAGGGATCTTGTTATAAAATTAGGGTCTCCTTTAAAAAAAAGAACAAAAAGTTAAATGCAAAAGTGAATATATGTTTAAAACAAGAAAGAAAATCACAATGAATTACAATTGTTTTAAAGCTGAAAACTACCAGAAATTTCACAAAATTCATGAAACAATGTAATGTCCTTTTAATTAATTTTTACATGTATAACATTACTTTTGTAAAAATCAATTTCTATGGAGAAAATGGGAAGACAATTCAGTCTTTCACTTAACATGGTTGATTAAAATATATTTTTGATTATAAGTGGGATGTATAAAACCCACGCCTGAATGCACAACCATACTTACTGTTTGTGGTTCTGCTGCAGGTTTGTGCCCTAAAAACACAGAAATTCTGATAAACGCTGTTTTGCACAACATCACCAAAAAAGAGAAAAAAGCATGGTGCATTTAAAATTATATATTGAATTATCGAGTATAATTTGACAGTAAACAATTGTTGTTCTGAACAGGCTTCCATCAGAACTTATTTTTCTATTTATAATTTTATGTACACGTCATCAGGAGGGAACCAATTGCTGGAGAAGGACATCATGCTTGGTAAAGTAGCAGGTCAACAAAAAAGAGGGAAACTCTTAACGAGATGGATTGACATAGTGGCTGCAACGATGGGATCAAACATAGTAATGAATGTGAGGGTGGGGCAGGACCGAGCAACATTTCATTCTGTTATACATACGGTTGCTATGAGTCAGAGCCAACTCGATAGTACCTAACAACATGATAATTTTGTATAATTGATGTTTGGAAGGATTTTCCACAGACTGGTTGCTGGCCCCATGCATTTCAAGTCTTGTTTCTCCTCCACTCCACTACCCACATCCTTCTAGTGTCAGGTACATTCCTGTTGGAATACAGCCTCTAGCCTCATGCCTTCATGTCATGATGCCAAGGGAGTTGGCACACTGGACAATGGGAATATTTCTTGCAGCCATTCCTACACCAGAACAGCTAGCAACAACTTAACTGTATGTAGAAATGACTGGGCACAACGTAAATATATACCACTAACTCCAAACGAAATGTATTCCCAACTCTGCTTCCTTTTAGCTGGATGCCAAGAGTGCTGGCAGCCATTCCAAGGCCACCTGGAATCACGACAAAGGGAAAGTCAGAGTGGAAAGGGAGGGCATTCTAATTCATTATGTTTAGAATATCTTACGTTAACTGGTAGTACAAATCACTTGACCCCATGAACATATTTCAAGGGCCACTCCCTGAGTCTTAAAAGGAACCTGTTGAAGTGAAGGACGCCAAAACTTGAGGTCCAACAACTTCATGGAAAATCCATCACTGAAAGTGCTCGTGGGCTTGTTTTCTGTGACTGCAGTAAAGGAGACAGTTCCATAATGTGGTACAGAAATTCCAAAATAGAAAATAATTGGGAGGACACATGAACTGAGGAGATATGGGGAAGTAAAGAAGAGATAAGGAGGAAGGGAGAAGAAAGGAGAGGTGAAAGAGGAAAAGATATTGGATGATGTGACAGTTTTAAAACAGGGTTCCAAAATTCTTTCACACGCCTCCCATCAAGAGGTGGGGTCTATGTCCCCTCCCTCTGCATTTGGGCAAGCACAGTGACTGCTTTGACCAACAGAATAAAGCAAAATGATGTTATGTGACTTCTAAAACTAAGTCAGTGTTATGGATTGAATTGTGTCTCCTCAAAATATGAGTTGGAATCCTAACCCCTATATCTGTGGATGTAATCTTGTTTGGGAATGGGTTTTCTTTCTTATGTCAATGAGGCCATTATCAGCATAGGATGTGTTCTAAACCTAATCACTTCTGAAATATAAAGAAGACACGGGAGCAAGCACAAACATGGGATAATAGATGCCACGCGCAAATTGCCAAGGAACCAAAGAATGCCAGGGCTACAGAAGCTGAGACAATGATCTTCCCCCAGAGCCAACAGAGAGTGCCTTCCCCTATAGCCAGGAACCTGAATTTGGACTTCTAGCTTCCTGCACTGTGAGAAAATAAATGTCTGTCCTTTAAAACCAGCCACTTGTGGTATTTCTGTTACAGAAGCTCTACGAAACTAAGACAGTCAGAAAAAGCCATGCAACTTTCACGTGTTCCTCTTAGGATGCTTGCTTGTGAGGAGCCAGCTACCATGTAAGAAGTCCCACTACCGTGAGACAGCCATGCTGGAGAGGCCAGTGGAGATGCTCTGCCAGTCACCAATCATCATCAATCTGTAGACACGTGAATGAGCTGCCCTAGCCAACAGAGCCTTCAGATGACCACAGCACCAGCAGACAGCTGACCACAGCCATGTGAAAGACCTCAAGTGAGAACCACCAACTTGATTCCACCCCCAATTCCTGGCCCACAATCTTGAGATAAATAAAATGGTTGTTTTAAAATGCTAAATCTTTGGAAAATTTATTCACAGCAATAGGTAGTTGGAACAGATGGGAAGGGAGTAGACAGAAGGGAGAAGAAAGGAGGAGAGGAGGGAGAGAGTAAAAGCATGGAGACACCTGTGGAAAGGAAGAAAGGAATGCCCAAAGGAATTGGCAAGATAAGAGGGTACCAGGCTTGAGAAGGAAGGCCACATCAAGAGGCTCAGTCACTATAGTACACTAAGACCTTGACATCTCTTTTCAAATAAGTTCTTTATTTAGTATGACTTGAGTCAAGAGGCCCTAAGAGATGCTGGAATCCACTC